CTGAGTGTGGAAACCTCAGGCCATTCATTTAATATTTTATTAGCCTGTGCTACTGTTTTGAATTTATCAGTGTTCTGTTGATTGTGCTTTGCGTTCCTGTCTTTATCGGAAATGTAAGGCCAGTAGTAACCTTTGCCTGTGTACATGCTCTGAAGAGGCAATCTTTCATGATTTCCCCATAATTAAAAATATTACTGTTGCTGTTTTAACCTTGATGGTGATTATTGTTGTTATTAGATGACATGAAACCACATCTGAACTGGAGTCGTGACCCCAGAGACTGAACAGGGAGTGCTTGAATAATCTTAGAAATCAGATATCCAGTGCTGGTGAGAAACCTAGTATACTGTGTTAAAGAGGCTATTGAAAACTCAGAATCGTATCATATAAGGAAACCATTTTAATCCTCATTAAAATAATACGGTGGGATAGCTGTGAGTGAGAGAGGTTTGTTTTGTCTTCCAAGGTGGTTTGGCCTGTCAGCATGAGGATTTCATGAGACTAAAGCAGGTGAAATAAAAACTCAAGTTACAGTAAGAATGAGCGCCTTGTTTATTCCTTCTTTTGTCTTCATGAGATTTTCTTTCCATGCTCTTTAAAACTTCTGTGTGCGTGTATGTGTATATGCTATAATTTCTTTCCTGTTTTGGAAATGTATGTCTTTTTTTTTTTTAACTCTAAGAAGTTAACCATATTTTTTGTGACTTACTTCCAATTCAAAATTCCTGCTAGGGTCAGCTAGAAAGTAAAGCCAAACCTTGCTTAAAGCCAGTGCTGATAGTCGGAATGTTAAATTTTTATTATTTGTTTTTTTTTCTTAGCAGCTCTGAAATCTTTTTTTGGGGGGTGGGGTGGGTGTGTGAAATCTACTCCCTGTGGAGTGAATAATGCCTATGTAACACTTGTTTTGGAGACTTTAGCAGCATGTTTACATTACTAGTTTCCTTGCGTAGTAAACTATAGAATACAGACCACCACATTTGGAAGCAGGCATGTGTATAAGGACGTGCAGCTGCGACGAAACGAAAATGTGCCGAGTTGCTAGAGCTGGGTGCTACTCCCCGAAGAGTGCTAAAAGAGCTTGAATGAAATAGCTGAAATAACAGCCAGTGTGTGTTGGTTTCAGCCAAGAAGCTTGTGGGGGCTGGCAGGTGTGATGATTTAAAAACAAATAATTAAGTAAAGAAAAAACGAAAAAAGCAGCTCCAGGAGAGAATCAGAATTACAGGCCAGTCTAGTAGAAATAACGATTGAGACTAGCATTGATAAGCACCTTGATGAATATGATATACCAGAGTAGTGTCAGTATGGCTCTTTGAAAGGAAAACATACTTCTTGGAGCTCTTGGGAAGGATCAGCAAGCATACAAATAGGGTGATCTGGGAGACACGGTCATGATTTCCAAACATCTTTCAACAGGTTTCCTTATCAAAAGAAATCAAGCAGCTGGGGTTAAGGGGGAAGGTCCTTACGTGGGTAAAAATGAATAAAAATATGAGAAATGGAGGGTAGGGATAACTGATTTTTCCTAGCAGAGGCAGGTCGCTAGTGGAGATGATCTGCAAGGATCTGGGCTGCTCAGCATGTTGTAAATGACTGGGAAAAAGAGGTGAGAAGTTAAGTGGAACTGCAAATGCAGCACTTTTATTCAGGTTGAGTAAGACAAATTGTTTCTACTAGGAGGATTGTAAAAGGATGTTGTGAGACTAACTGGGCTTGAAAATTGCAGATCTGTGAAGTAATCCACATGCTAAAAATGATCTTATCTGTCAGGTAGAATCTGGGATAACTTACTGCTCAGGAGCTGAGTTTTGAGGTCGTTACAGTTGTCTGGAAGTATCTTGAATTTCTGTAAGCTAACTAGAAAAGGTGTTAGATGTCGTGAATTAAGAAAACAAAGAGCATCATGGGCGCAGCATGGATTTACGATGTAGCTTACTGTCTTGAGTACTGTGCATTTCTAATACTTTGATCTAAAAGGATACAGCTCATTTGGAAAAATTGTGGAATGACTAAGGTGGGATTTCTCAACTTAGAATATTATTGCGAAGTTGTAAGTAGAAAGGATTAAATGGTACGTAGCATCTACAAATAGAAAAAATTAAGAACAGTGTGTGAAGCTGTGCAACTCCTTGCCACAGGGTGTTGTGCATGCTAGAAATGTACGTGGATTTAAGGAGAGATTTAACAAAGGAAAGACTCATTGAGAGGTCCTACATTACACAGAAGCCACATCTGGCCCGGGAGATCTCTGAGCTGGAAATTGCAGGAGGTCAAAGGGATAGCCTTCTGTCATCTTCTATAGGCATGTGGTTTTTTGCTGCTGTTCCTATTTGTTGACTGACAGGAGGGATGTGAATGTGTCCTAAAACCTAAAAATACTTCCCTGAAGGTGTGTATGGAGGGAGAGGATATAAATGAACTAGTCAAATGAGTAAGAGGAGGGAACAAAGAAGGCGGGGGGGGGGCGGCAAAAGGGGTCAAAGGATCCAAAAGCTTTACAATTTTAAAATGAGGGAAGGGGTCATAAATAACAAGGGGAGAAATGTAGGCAGAACCACTGATTTTGGAGGAGCTGGAAGAGGGGCTATAGTGAATGTACACCTCTTGGTGAGCAGCAAAGGCATGGGTGGAAAGAAACTTAACATCCTCCATACAGAACCTTTCTGTGGTTTTAATGCTTCTTTTCAACAGGAAACAGAGGCATATTTCTGATTTTTTTTTTACGTGATGTTTTGCCTAAGGGCAGAGTATGTGCATACATGTCTAAGGAGTATAGTCAGAAGAGCTGCAGGCTCACCAGAGAGCAGAACTGTGCAAGGTGTGTTTAACTGCACAAACACCATGGCTATATATAGCTGGTAGTACAGAGCCCATCCTGTGCCTGTACTGAATTCCTGCTTATCTGATCAAAGTTCGAATCTACAGGCAAGTCCCCTAGTTAACCATTTTTCAGTTGCTTCAGACTTCAGGTTGGAACAGAGGAAATACCTCCTTTTCAGGCCAATCAAGATGTGTCTTACCTGCGGGTGGATTTTACTGGCAGCTGGAGTGTTGCAAAACATCACTTCTTGTCTCATGAAAGCTAAACGTATATTTACGTGTGCTAGAACAAGTGACCTGGGTTTCTGAGTACCACCTGGAGATGGTCCCAAAAAGCCGTTATACTTCTCTGGAGCAAGGGGCAGATTTTCATCTTGGCTGATGCTTCCTTGTGCAGCAAGCCAGCTCTTATCTTTCCTTTGGTTGAACAATGTGTAACCTTCTGTTGTACAAACTGTCTTCATTTTAGGCTTTGTTTGTGGTGTGAATCAGTGGCTTAATTTGCTGGCCTGTGTGCTTGAGGGAGTATGATCATCTTTTTGACTAGCTGGTATTCTCAAGAATTAGTAATAGCAGTAGTCCTGCTTATAATTTGGACTAATAATTTGCGGAGGGACAACGGTTTTGGGACAATGGTTTTCCTCCAACGACTGGATCACTGTCTTCAGACTAAACTTTGGTAAATGATGATGTACCTTCCAAACAGCTGAACCGTATTATAGGAAAAAAAAAAATTGCCAGTATTTTGCTATCAAATTATGATCCTTGTTCTAGCACGATACGCGTTGGTGGTTGTAGAGGTACGCAAGAAACACTGCTTAAAATCCTGCACTGGTGGTGGTGTGCCAGGGAGGGAAGCAGTTTGTGTGTTAAAGCAGTAATTTGTTTGCTTCTGCAGGCAATCATGGTTGTAATCTGGTCACAGCATATTAGAGGTTTACTGTAGTTTCTTAATGTGCCAGTAAGTTTGTACTTAGACTTAATTTTCATCTTGAAACTGAATTGTCACGTATCCTTTATTATGGTAGTTGGAAAAGATTTTTGATCCTCAAATCTAGCAAAATTAATGCTGAAAACTTTCAAACTTTCCAGGCCTAAAATGATGATAATGTGGGGGCTTCTCTTCACTGCACCTTGGATTAATTTAGGCAGAAGCTTATTAAAAAGACTTTTAAAAATTTTGTGTCATTCGAAGTATTTAGAATAGCTAAAAGAAAAAGGGTATGTTTTAATAATAAATTACTTGTCTTTGAAGTGGATTGTGTCCTGGATGATCTCACTTAATAGTTCATTATGCTTTGTCATTCAGGTACTTTTTGCGTCTGCCAGGGAACAACAAAAAAAATTACTGACTCTAATCAATCCTGTTAAGTACAGCTCAGCATCGTGGGAAAAGCTGTTATATTTTAGCTGTAGGTTTGTACTAAAGCAAATCTGTGAAACTTGTAGTAAAAATCTTATTTGATTAAAAAAAAAAAAAAGTCTCCGAGTTATTCTAAACATAGCCCATGATGGGGGAATGGCTATATGTATTTGCAACAGATCTGTGTAACAGAAATAATGAGTTACTGCGATGTACTCGAGCCTTCCCATGTGCTGACAGTGGAAGGGGACTGTGTCACATCTGATGAAGGGCTTGACTTTGTTTGTATGTTAACAAAGCCTTGTAGCTCGCTTGGTGATTTGCTGCCCTTCTCTTAAACTCCTGTTGGGAGGAGGCAATGCTATTTAAAAATCTTGTATTTAATCCAAAACCAGTATATTAATCATGGTCACTGGATCTTCCCATACCTGGGAAGAGCACAGGTGACTAGGTTCACACAGGGAGTTGGGGAGATTGCTGAGTATATCGAGACACACCATTAATCTGTTTCTTGCTGTTGTTTACCATATTTATATCAGGGTCTAGCTGTAGCCTAACTGCACTTAGTACAACTTTTTACATTTTATATAAGAGCCAATACCTTAAATTGGGACAAAACTTAGGAAGCCTGGATGCTTTAAAAAAAGTCTGTAATATACTGAAATTCCCAAACAGGTTTTTATCGGGCATTGGAATAAAACAAGTTCAAAGTCTACTGCTTTAAGCCTTTGTTGCTGACAGCTATGCAATATGTTGGTATGTTTGTTTTAAAGCACAGGCTCTTGCTCATCCTTTGTGCTTTTTTCTTTTTTAGTTCAAAACCCATTTCTTCACCTTTGATTGTACAAGTTGGACATGCAGAGACACTTCAGCCATTGCTTGCCCTTATGGGTTTCTTCAAAGACGATGAGCCTCTCAAGGCAAACAATTACATCAGACAGATGCATCGGAAATTTCGCAGCGGCCGAATTGTGCCATATGCAGCCAACCTGGTATTTGTGCTTTACCACTGTGATCAAGTGAAAACCTCTAAAGAAGAGTATCAAGTGCAGATGTTGTTGAATGAAAAACTGATGTTGTTTCATCACTCGAATGAAACCATCTCTACTTACGTGGACCTCAAGGACTATTACAAGGACATCCTGGAAAACTGCCACTTCAAAGAAGAGTGTGCATTACCAAAAGTTAATATTACCGCTGTTGATGAACTTTGAGGGAATGAAATGGAGTGGGCGTTCTGCAAATTGATCTCGGTTCTGTTCGACAGATATTGTGAACAAGCACTTTTGATGGTTTACTGCTGCTGTGTTGATTTTCTAAACTTGCAGATTTGATGGGTTGTCTCAGTTAGCTCAATGCACTGTTTTTTATTATATAAGCAGAATTACAAAAACAAATGCTGTAACAGGGATGTTGCTGAGCATTTGTAACAAATATGTGATGCAAGATGAAGCATACCTGTATGTTTATATATACGAATAAGTAATTTCATTGGTCATTCCTCTTATGAATGTGCTCTAGATAAGGCAACTGAGGCAGCTGGGGCAACTTCTATTTTATCAGAGCTGAAGGTGGTTGGACTGATTCAGTATTGCTTTGCGCTGCCTGTTTTGCTAGCTACTGTTTTCCTGTGGCAGGCATGAAATAATTCAAACCTGTGAGCTTTTTTGCTCCTTTTCCTGAACTTCTAGGAGGGAGAGGGTGCATAGTCCTTTTCCATAGCTGCCCAACTTCTGCCTAGACAGCACCATGGGAACATCTTTCTTAGGCATTTAAAGCAGGAGGAGTTGTAGTGTTCCTGCATGCATTATCTGCCTGAAGAAGGTCCAGGAGTTAAAAGTTTTAAAGTCATCATCGATCTATCCCGCATAGCATGCTAACCTCCGGGGTAAGTAAACTATCTTTGAAAAGAAAAAAAAAAAAGTAAAAAAAAAAAAGTGAGGGAGTGGGAAGTAGCTATTCTTCCTTTAAGGTGCTCTGGGAGATGCAGCAGTTGCTCTCTAAGTAATCTGGTGTGTCCTTTCACTTGACACCATCAATTTCTTGTGTTAAAGGTTTGGGCTAGGACATTCAGGTTAGACTCTGCTATGGCTACGAACATCTTGGTCCTGTCCAGATGCTGACAGTTTTCCTAGCAGCTCTGGTTGGAAGGGACCTCTGGAGGTCTCCAGTCCAGCCTCCTGCTTGAAATATCCACCAGCTTGTTGCTAACCCTAAATCCAGGCAGGTTTTGGACTGTAAAAAGTATCTGGCTGAGACTTGACTTCTGCTAGCTTTAAGGCACCGAACGTGGTGTCACTTACGTAGACCGTATACATTTGATGTGCTACCTTGTTCTTGAAATGAAGCTGGTTTTAAAGAAATTAATTGCATAAAAGTACTGGTGATTTTTTTAAAGGAACTGCACTTAAAGTAGGTTCACTTGCTACTGAAAGTTGGAAGGTATTTTAGAGCTCTGCAGTGTGGCAGAAAAAGGAAAAATGAAGATAATTGTCCAGAAATTCTGAAATGCAGTAAGTCAGATAAAAATTCCTTCATCGCCCGGAAGGAAAGGGCTGTGTGAAAAAGATACTGATTAAAACTGGTGGATATTTCATCTTTAACATCCTGGTGAAATACTTGCCTGTGTTAGCTCTGCAGCTCTTTTTCTGAAACTGGTGAAATGGTTAGGAAGGAGTATCGATGCTGACACAAATGTAGGAATATAGGTCAGGATAGTTGTCAGCCCCACCATATGACTTTTACTGCTATATCAGCTTTGCATGTCTCCTTTTTTACATGATCCTACCTTGAGACTAAGTCAACTGATCATAATTACTGTGACAGATGCCTGTTACAAACTTTATTGCAACGTTTGAGACAAGCTACAAAGAAATGAACCTTTGTTTAAAGGCAGTTAAGTTTGGTAAATAGCAGCTACAAGGATGAGAAAATCCACCTTTGAACAAATATTTTTTTCTGTGAGTCAGTCATCCTGTGATGATTCATGATTTGAACAGAAAGGACGAAAGCCTGACTATTGGAGATGAATGGAGGATTTCTGTTTGTCAGCTCAGTGAGACTGATTTTAAGACAGCATATTTGTTAAAAGATATGTCCTTCTTCCTTATAGAGGAGGAATACGTTGCACTTGACTGCTTTTTTTGATCATGTGCCATTCCTTCTACAGTGAAGCATCGTTTGCTTCTGCATTACCAGGTTGATTGTATGCTTAAATTCTGTGCAAAGGGCTTCAAGGATGACTCTTCAGAGGCTGTTTCCTATTTTGCCTTGGAGTACAGGTCCATCATATCTCCAGCATAACAGATATATCTTCAGTGGCTGTCAGCAATTAACTGAAAAGGAAAATGTGCTATTTGGTTTCTGATCTGTATTTAAAGGATGCGCTGACACTCCTCTGGCAGAATTAGAGTCTGAACGTGGAAACTTTGCACAATTGTAGCAACAGAAGTGTTTGGACACGTAAATGTTCTAGGCGCTTGTTCATGTGACTGATTCTTACCATTAGGGAGGTAACTTCAATATGACCCTTTTACTTAGTAAATATATAAAATTGTTTATATACTAAAAATGAAAACTAAAATGAATCAAAATATTTCCATAAAGTTGGGCACTAGCTCAGTGAGCAGTGTTTGAACAGGCTGCCATATCTCATGGCATTGCAGATTACCACATCCTGAAAAAGTCCTGCAAGAAAAATAATGCTTTCTCTTCCTTCATGTGGCTCTGAACAAAATAACTCATCTCAGTCATCCTTTGAGGACTTTGCAACCTTTCTCAAACTGGAAGCTTTCATTGATGAAAAATACTGACAGCGTTCTTGGATGATGGCCTTAAATATGTCTGAAATTTATTTTGTTAAATGTCTAAAGCTTAACTAATCTTTCTGTCAAGTTCATTTTTTCCTCCTAGTAAGTACTGATGCTGTAATTCTGGTTAGCATCGAGCTGTCAAATTGCTGGACACAATGCAAATTTGTAATAATATGGTACTAACTGGATGAATTTTGGGAACTTGTTTTGGATTTTTAGTGCTGTGAAATAAAACTGCACACTTTCTTCATCTCTCTTATGAGCAGTAATAATGACACGATCTTTATTATCATGGCTGTGTTCTGCTTCAAAATACATTTGGTAGGTTGCTATTACTTGCATTGGTGTCTCTGATTATTTTAAGTCGTCAAATTGCTTGGTGATTAATATAAAGTACCTTATTAGGTTTTTACTCTCACATTTTGAGGTGAGTGAAAATTCGCTCTTGTTTCCAGGAGCCCTGGTTTTAAAAACAGCGATAGTTTCCTGACAAGTTCTTTGCAGATATTACTATAGTATGCAAAATGTGTGGAAATGTCCTGCATTTTGAAGTGGAGTGAGGGTACACACACGTTTTTGTGCAGTCCAGAATCTGCTGCAGTATTTTTTTCTAAACATTATCACTCTCAATAAGAGACTGACACTGTTGATTTGATAAAGAATTAGAAACATACATCATGCAATACTTTCTAACCTGTCATTTCTTGTAGGTATTTAGCAATAGATCCTCATTATTGAGTATCCATTAGCTACTTAGTTTGTTAATTCTCTGATTACCTGTACGTAAAAATTAAGCTTTGCCTGCAGTGTGGTCATGTGCTGAGGATGCAGTGCTTTTGTAAGTGTGCTGTGACTGGAACAGCATCATCTTTGATCAAGGGCTGTTTCTTCATTTTCAGAAGTACTAGTCTGTAAGACAGTTTGAAATGGAAAACAATTGATGTGGTTTTGTTTAAAACAAACAAAAAAACCCCCAAACTGTACAGTCATAGGAAAAGGAGTGAAATGTCTCTAAAATTAAGATACCAAAACCACGTATAACCTTCTAGGGGAAGAACATGATCACCACCATCCTCCCCCTTCTTTTTTTTAGATGTGTAATATATTAAATGGTCATTTTGTTAGTTGTCGAACTTTTCAAAAGGAAGTTAGTATTATCAGATGTTAGTCTGCAGTTGCTGGTATGGCAGAAATAATGGTTTATCTTTTGAATTGTTAAATTCTTGCTTTCTTGGGCTTTAAGTTATAGACTATTTCTCCTGATTGTCGGAGTCATTTCAGACCTGGCTATTCTAAGGACCGACCTTACTGGACTGGAGTGAAGATCGCTCGTGTCCTCCACTGTCTTCGAAGGGTAGTGAGTTATGGACCATCAGAAGAAGAATTATATACTAATGCAAACAGTATACATTGGTAAGCCCACCAAAGCATGGTGCCAGGAGCGGGTGAGCCAGGGAGAGCTCATAACTTCATAACTTTGTTTAAGATTTCTGGGGAGATATTTTTTTCCCCACCCTTCCTCCTCCTATGAACTTCTTGTCTTGAGGCTAGCCGCGCTTTAGTCACCCGTGTCGTTATGTGATGGTGAGGCCACACTTTGCTTTTGTACATGGTGTAGTGGGTTTCTTTGTTTTAAAAGTCCTGTCTGGTTTTTGTGGTGTTTTGACCAATGGGGGGGGGGGGGGGGGTTGATATGCTGCCACCTTCATCTTCATCATGAAGACTCAGCAACTCCTGTGTATCCAGTTCAGCTTTTGAGTGCTGTTTTTGTGCCTGATCTCTCAGGATTTGTAGGCCCATAAGTAGAAAACTATTTCAAAATTGCTTTGTTTCTGATGTTTTTGAAGAGGGTTTTCATTGACTGTGAAACATATGCCAGGCCAGAGCTACGTTCTGCTTCCAGATCTGATACAGGTAGATGTTTGTAAAGGCTGTACGGCTTTTTTCCCCTCCCTTGTTTGCTTCCAGAAGCAGAAAATTAAGATTATATATAGATTAACCTGCATTTATGGCTTTTTTTCCAACTTAATTCAATGCTTTAAAGAGATTTTTACTTAAGACAGAGGAAGGGGGGAGGTTCAGGCTGACAGCATGTGGTCTTTATGGTGGTGGATTTTTTTTTTAAACAATTCCTTTGAAAAGTGGTTTAAAGCAAGCATTGTTTTTCTGACATTCTGTTGAAAGGTTTGAGCACACCTCTTACTGTGTTTGATTAACAAAAACAAATAATTGGTGTTCAGGGAAGGGATTATTGTTGAAGGACTAGGATGGAAGGAGCTAGCTGAATTAATTAGGAGTAGTAGTAGTATTTAAGGGTGAGAAAAGCTCTGCAGACTTCCACACTAGTGTTAACATGTGATAACAAATCCTGAACCTCTTACAGAAACAGAAGGTGCCCAGCTGATACTGGGAAGCAAAGTATGCACCCCCGAAAGAGGAACCAGGTTGGATCAGGCTGAAGGTCCTTTAGCCTGGTGACCTGGCTTTTGGTAGGACGTGGTGCCTAAGCAAACACATAGGAATGGAGCAAGTATTTCTCTGTACGCTCCCAATTACTGGCCATTTGTGGCTACAGGATTTTCTTGAGTTGAGGAAAGTGAGTTTGCGTTTAGCTTTATCTATAGCTCTTAATCTCTCCTACGTGGCTCTCCTGTTGCTTTCTGAACCTAAAGCCTTAGATTCGCCTTGCAATGGGGTGCGGCGGATGCTAGAGCTCAACTGTAGGCTTTGTGAAGGTCCAGCTAACTTTGTTTCATTTGAGCCTGCCACCTGCTAGACTGGAAATTCAGTCACATTTCTAGGAGCCGTGATTTTAAAAACAGTAATAACTTTCTGATGTACTTGATTAGCAGAGTTAGTTGCCATATGCAAATGCTAAAGCTTGGCTTTTATTCTGGAGCAGTTCAGTCATTTTGTGTGATATAGATCTTGTTTCAGTGTTGTGTTTTCCTGAACACTAGCAGTTCCATCTGTTTCCTTGGAGCATTTATTGGGAGAGGAGTTAAATGCTCAATCTCTCTTCATCCTGCCTATGTTACTTATGGCTTGTATTTTATTTTCCCCAGA